TAAAATTTGCCAGGACACGCGACACGCTCGAGCGGAGCTACGCCCGTCCGCTGCGGCAAACTTAAACAATTGAAATGAAATACCAAGGTCACCTGGTATATATGCGGCTTGGCACATCATAGGCAGGAAGTGAATTCATGGAAGGTTAACTGCTGGAACCGACGCCCGAAAGAAATGACGCTGAATGGAAGCTTTGGGGATGGAAAAGGACGGAAAATGGCAACGACAAGAAAAGAGACAAAATTGACCACCGCAGGGGTCGAACCTGCAATCTCCTGATAACGTCTGACGTAGATCGTAGTCAGACGCGATGCCATTTCGCCAGGCGGCCATTGAAGTGTTGGTTATCCTGATGGTGTCTACCGGGGGCCACGCCGAAGGTGCAACGCACATGAACCTTGATCTACGATGCCCCTCTGGGAACTTGTGGGGCCAGGGGAACGGCCCTTGGTTCAAGTCAAAGGTTCAGGATACACGGATCGTGGTTGACACCCGCTAATCTCTGTTCCGTACAGGGGTTGGTTTTTACGTCTGCAGCGATAGGACTGGACAGCGTAACCGTATTACGGCCGTATGGCACACCGTAAATACGGTTACCGGAACCGTACCGTAAGGGGGGTGCCCGCCAATTTTGACGGTACGACGGGAGACAACCCGTACAGACCCGTACCGGCCGTATGTACGGCAGTCGGCCCTGGGCGGTAACGTGGGAGTCATCGAAGATTTGCGCGTGAAATCGCGCCGGACCTGACTCGGCATTCGGCCAAAGTCACGTATGGCCCATCTTCGCCGGTGGCTTGGTACCGGCCATGCACCGGCAAGGGGAAAGCTGAGTACTGCAGTACTGCCAGTGTTGAGTTCCGTATGTAATGTCGTTTTTTCCGGGAACTTGGTTGCCATTTGGTGTACATACGGCCGTAAAATTGGCCCGTACGACCCCTCAGATTGTGCTCGTACGGTACGGGTTCGGTCGAAACTGTGCCCGTACGGCACCCCTCCGCATACGTCCGTATACCGTATACGGTACGGTGAACAGCCCTATGCAGCAAGTTTTATGTAAATATCAAAGATGCCGTTTTTTGAAGCCAACGTGTGAAATTAGTCAAAGAGGTAAACCTGGTGAATACGCGAGGTTCAACTAGAAAAGGTGAGAATTCATCTTACATGAGATAGTGGGTCGGATTTTGTGAGGATATATTCACTATCAAGAACATGTAAGTATACAAACTAGTCCAACTTGATGGATTTCAAACCGGTCGAGCATTTCAGAGCAACCTTCTTCGGAACTACCCCGAGACAAATAATCGTCGATCAAGAGAAAGGTGGGTGAGCAAGTTCAAAAGAATATCAGGAGGTTGGAACACAGTCCACGGAGCTAATGTTCGCCCCCCCAAAAAATTAGCGGAACAATGTGACGAGAATTACAGCCGTTTGCATAATTGATGACAGTTGCCGAGAAAAAGAAAGAAAGAAGAGTTTTAATGCCGAAACTTGTTTTGCTCATTTCTCCTTCATTTCTTGTCCAATTAGGCTGGAAATAAGAGGGTTTGAGAGGGTTTCATAAGGCCTTCACAACCATACCATACTCACCACCCAATTCACAGATTCAAGCTTGATGATTTTTCCCTTGTAATCAATGAATTGAATGGATGTCCGATTTTGTAATACTCGGGCCATCAAAACAATAAACGGTTTACTATCGACACTCACCATGTCTCCTTTGGCTGATAGCACGGCGCTGGCTCCACATTTACGCTCCATCTCTTTCGGATGCGTAAAACAAACCGATATCGACCACGGCCAGCATATCAAAATGCTTGAATCTCAGTGGAAGGCACTGGGTTGTGGACTCGAAGCCGCAGCGCTGCTGGTCCAGGAGCGCTCGGGACCAGATCCGACCACACGGGGTAAATTGGAAAGGCTTCGCCAGGATGGTTTAGATCTCCAAATATTGGAGGGGTAGCAGAAGGTGCAAGACGTTACGGCGGGTTGGACCTATCATATACTATATTCACCTGACTCTCCTTCTAATGTGTAGCCCTGCTCTTATGACACGCGAGCACATTGTGTAAGGCGTGAAGATGTAGCCAGGGACGGGTGTCTGTGAGACAAGGAATGTCCAGAAAATTTTCGTCAAATTCCAGTCATAAACACTGAACACCACCTAAGTAAGGTTTTGCTGCGAGTTTTAGATTCGAATTGGACTTGAAAGAGTACGGGTCGCAGTTCACGGGGGGAAAAGACCACAGAAGTTAACAGAACAGGTCTTGAGATACATATTCACGCCACACCATCGTGCGAACTTTTTCAAAAAGTTGAACAGGTTCTTTCAGAGGTGTGCACCTGCCGATTGACGACCCAATGGTATAAAATATGCACAATATATATACGAAGCAAAACCGGGGATCGTTGACTGTTTAGTTCTGCATCGTGAGGATGGCTCTTGAGCCGTGCCCTAGACAAGCCCTTGTCCCTTGAAAAGTGCGGGCGCTAGGTAGTCTCTCGTAGACAGACACTTCAATAGGCGTGGGGGCTGTTTTGATAGTTCAGAATCTGGTATTTTTGCAAAGCTTCGAGTGATGGCACACTCCCAGCAGCGCCCATCCCATGATCGGTGGCCTATGCAAGAAGCTGGCGAGAACTGAGACATGGACACTTTTTTTGATATCCTCGTCTTGCTGTTGTACGGGAGTTCGGTCATGGCCATTCAAACTCTCACGAGTACGTCCGTGGCGCAGGCCGTGACCATAACATCCAGTATCGATTTGAGAAGTGTACGTCTCACTTTATCCTGCCCTATGCATATCTTAATAACATCCAATCTATCGCATACTAGAACCATGTATCTGCTGTGGGGAATATAAATGGTTTGCTCCAAAGGGCAGATGGACACAAATGGACATCTGGAATGGAAGTGTAATCATCACACATTTCCTGCCCCCCCCCCCTGCAAGGCAGCCAACGAAAAGGCTCGGAGGGTGTTACAATCAGCCAAGACGGTGAGCATGCTTATCCTCACTTCTCAACACCTGAGAAAAGACGACGGCTTCAGCTATTGTATCCCATTGCGCACAAAGCGGCTGGTGATGCATAGCATTTGGCTGCACAGCTTGTACTGCGATTATTTGACAGCCCTTCATATACAAATATGGCGCAAAAGCTGTAGCTCTTCTTTTTTTTATCGAGCTGGGAAAGTTCTGTAACACTGTTGCAGCGCCCCACACCAACCCGTGTCGGCTGTGAAACACATGGTCATGCGCGAATTGGTCGAGGTTTCAAAGTTCAAATTCCGAGGAGACTCGCACTTGCACTTGAATCTCCGGGACAATCAATATCGATGGAGAACAAAGCGAGTGACTTTGCCGACAAGCGCCGATGCTGTGCAGTAAACAGCTTGGGCACAGCTTTGCTGCACAGCTTGTCTTGCGATTATTTGACAGCCTTTCATATATACACCGGAAAAGGTATCACGTCGGCGGCTTGCCTCTCTCCCTCAGGCTGCGCTCCCTCACTGGAACCTTTCATGGACTCGGACGAAGAAAGCCACCCCAATGCAAATCTTAACGAAGAAAGTCACCCCGATTTAACGGGCAACAATGGTCACGAAGAGTCTATGCCGTGGGCCTTGTCATTATCTTTCTCCTCGTTGGCATCTCACGGTATGGGCTCCAGGTCCTTCGGCCCTTTCTTCGAGGGGGCGACAAACTTTGACGTCTCAGGTGCTACTTTCATCGACGTCACGCCACACAACACTACCGTTCGCACGCTTCCGTCCGACGAAGAATTACATTTTACGTCCGCTCCAACGGTAGACAATGGAGAGTCTATGTCGTGAGCCTTGTCGTTATCTTTCTCCTCGCTGGCATCTCATGGTATGTGCTACAGGTCCCGAGGCTCTTTCTTCCGGGGGGCAAAAAACTTTGTCGTCTCGGGTGGTACCTTCACCAGCGTCACGCCACTGCGTGGTTATAGCAGACGCGAAGGAGCCGTAGAAAGAGGAGGAGGAGGACGAGATGTAAGTGGACGCACACGCAACATTACCATCACCAGCGTCACGAACACTACCGTTCGCACGTTTCGCTCCGGTAAGCTCTCTCAATTGCGGACCTTGCGCACCCGCTGAATCCTCACTAGATTTCCGAATGAACACAACCGGAGACAATTTTCGGGATCTCAGTTTACTCGAGAGTTGGGCAAAGTTGTTCTATTTCTTGATGGTACGGCCCTTCCGGCTGATTTGCCACATTGATCATTAGCTCAGATCTTGATCATTGTGAACCTTTTCTGGAAACTCATTTATCGATGATACACAACGCACGCACGGTACGTACATCCATCCACTCACGTTGGACATAATATTGAGGTGCCTCCAGGACGAGGAGTTGACTGTAAGCTCCCTGAACAATGTTGGTACATTGACTGTATCTCAGCAGGTGATTCAACGTTTCAAGACTGTTTGCAAACGAAATGTGAGCCTGGTGATGCTGAGCCTTACAGCTCTTTGCGCAACTTGGGGGTTGGAGAGATTCTTCAAATTTTGATGTTCTGCCAGATCGGCCATGGTATCGAGTATTACAGTCACAGTCACAGAGATAATGATTCTTTTTTATCTTCTCCATGAGCTTGTGTCTGAATTAGTTGAAGCAAGTCTCCAGTCAGCCTTCAGAGCGGGCTCTGCTAATACAATGGCCGCCTGGCGAAATGGCATCGCGTCTGACTACGATCTACGTCAGACGTTATCAGGAGATTGCAGGTTCGACCCCTGCGGTGGTCATTTTTTCACTTTTGGACGTTCGTTCCTTTTTTCCAGTCTTTCGCTTGAACGTTTTTCCATCCGAAGGCGAACCGCAATCAATTGCAGATATGTTGCAGGTACTAAACATCAAGGTCCTTTCGCAGCCAGCCTCAAAAGTGGCCGTGGAAGCGGACTAATCAACCGGAGGCCGTAGGGTTTATTTTCTCTATACATGGACCTTGCTTGAAACGTCGCAACAAACGCCTCAGTTCCCCAGGGGTCGAACCTGCAATCTCCTGATCTGATGACACCTTGCCCAATCGTAGTCAGACACGATACCATTTCGCCAGGTGGTCGATGCACACGGCCAGGCGGTCGATGTAGAGGGGGGGAAACTATTCTCTCCCAGAACGGGAATGGTCCAACACCCATGGTGACTGTAGCTACAGTTGGCACAGATTCAATCATCAGACTGCATTCTTGCGTTTGACAAAGTTTTTAATGATCGATCAATACGTGATCGGCATTCGGCCGTTCGCGACAATGACATGTGGCAGTGCCAAGCGCGCTTCTTTCTGCCCAGAGGAACTCAATTCGCCTGTAGAGTGCAACAGAGAAATGTGGTATCAAAGTGACATCCGTGGTACAGTGATATTTTCCCCGCCATGAACATACGCACCCAGAGTCCAGATTGGCAAAGACCTTCAGGTTTCAAAAGATGGGATGAAGATTGGATGGAGCGAGTGATGCCCCGTGCGGCACACACTCGGTTCTCACAACCGGGGGCACTCTTCTTTTCCGATCGTGCGGTCCGTGTCGAGCTTGCCTATTGAATCTCGGATAATCTAGGTTTGTTTCCGAGTCCGCAGCATGCCTGACGCTGGCCTTTGTCTCTTAGCTCAGCTCCCTATCTTGAACTTCAAGTCCCATCGTCGTCCTTCCCATCTGTTTTCCTGTTGTCAACTCGATTTGTCAACTCGATTTGAGCAGATGCAAGCCCTTCATGATGTAGTCAAGGCTGGCTATGTTCGCTATGTCGGCATGTATTCCTGCTACGCTTGGCAGTGTACGCCACGTTGCTTAGAGATTTACCACAAAAACTACTGACCTTCATTTCTGCGATGCAAAGTATATATTTCTACCCTTGCAATCTCCAGGCTCACAAAACAGGTTAGACTATGCCATTAACAACAAATTAACTCCCTTCATATCCATGCAAGACGACTACAACATGTTGTACCGGGAGGAGGAGCGCGAGATGTTCCCAACCTTGAAGGTGGGTGATTACCTTACACCCCGTGAAGGGCGAATAATGGCGGGGTGGTTGTAGTATTTCGGGGTTGGAGCAATTCCTTGGCCCCCTCTTGCCACAGGGGCACTCACCCGTCCACTTGAGAGGGAACAGTAGACCAAACGGGGGAATTCTGACGGGTCTGTCCCTCCGAGACGGATATCCAAAAAAATTATCTCACGTATCTATTCACAGAATGCCGCCTGGCTTGTACATGCAGTCTGACGCCAACAAGGCGATCGTCAACCGGCAAGCAACCCAGGCTGACCCTTTCGTTCCAACTAATTTTTGGACACGAGTTGAAGAGATCCGAAGAAGCGCGGCATCAGCATGGCACAGGTCTCAGTCGCCTGGGTGACCTTGGGCAAAGAGGGCGCGTAAACCTACTCTGTTCCGTTCACATTTCGACCGCTAAAATATTTCTCTCAAGGCGTCTCTGCCCCAATCGTTGGCACTACCTCACTTTCCAACCTAGCCGACATCCTCGGTAAGCATATGCGGCTAGCCCGGAGAGGTTTTGCGGCCCTGACATGCGCGCACTGTAGCCGCAATTCACATCAAGTTGACCGAGGGGGAGGTTAAATATTTGGAAGAGCCGTACCAGCCTACGGACGTGATGTATTGAAAGTAGCTTCAAGGTAGGTAGGCGTGGTCTCGTTGAGGAACAGCCGGTTTCCGTAATACATTCAAGTATAGACCATTTCTGGATATTCAAAATTGTGACCGAGGCCAGATTTGTTTGTATATTGGATTGATGAACTGTTGTCCAACATTTTTTTCTCCTGATTCCGTCACAAAGCTAGTCTTTTGAAATTCGATGATTCAAACTTAATCCGGATTCCAATTTTCCATTATTGTAAATCATCTTTCAGGAATTCAACTAGGGTTGAGCGTGGATGTATACGTCGATGTACTCGCCGACCAAATCACTACTCGAAGATTCAAGAGCCAGGAGCGACTCGTCCTTCGAGTTTTCTTATTCCAGTTCTCGAGTAGTGATTTTGTGATTTCGGAGAAAATCGGACATCAGATTCCCGATCAGTGGCATGCAATTGCAAACAGAGCTCCTCCGTTCACTACCATCACCCTCTGCGAGTTTTAGCTCTAGTAGTGGCACCGTGCATCCTTTTTACGCCTTCTCTATTCTCCAGGCCTCTTCCATGAGTGCGCAGATCCCCCGGTGCTCGGAATGCGGTGCCTTGGCCACCAATGACAATAGCTCGGCATCGGAACCTTTGAATATGACGGCCAGTGCTGCAACGCTGCCCGGCACCAGGAACTCTTGACCACCAATGATCCGCCTGGTGCGGCAGAAACCACTTTTATCCGGTCGGTCATATGGCAGACCGACGCGCGATTGGCATGTCTCGACGAAGAGATATCGTGGCTCCGAGCCCGGTTGACGCAGCTGGAGGAGGAGCACGCTTCAGTGTCGAGATACCATGCCCAAAATACGGCCATCTTATTTCCGCTCAGGAGAATGCCGCCCGAGATCCTCGGGGAAATATTTTCGTGGACATTGCCGTCTGCACATCGTGGTTTCGAGACGAAAAACAGTCCATGGCTGTTGGCACAGATTAGCTCCCGTTGGAGAAGCATTTCTATCTCGATTCCTTCTCTGTGGTCCCGAATCAACCTCGATTATGGCAGAACCAGCGAGTATCCTTTGGCGGCCGTCGAAACCCAGATCCAGCGTGCCCAAACATTGAAGATTTGTTTTCTATCTTCCCCGCACGATGGCTCCGGTCCTCAAATCCAGATGCTCGAGCTCCTCGCCGAACACTCCTTACGCTGGGAGGAGCTCATCCTTGGAGTAACACGCCCAATCCTGCCTCTTTTGACCTCCCTTCGACACCGTGTGCCCTTGTTGCGCCAGTTATGGATACAAATCCATGACGAGGCAACTTCCCTCGACTCCGTTGACTGTTTCATTGATGCTCCCCATCTTCGCCAATTCGGTGCCTCCCGTTTATATTCTTCGGTTTCGATCCCGATTCCCGTCAATCAACTGACACACTACGGGCTGGAGGGGTCGCCAGCCATGCATCTGCACATCATAAAAAACGCAAAAAACCTCGTTCAAGCGCGGGTCCTTGTTACAGTCGGCGAGGTGGTGGCCCATGAAGTTCTTACCCTCCCTTCTCTACGGCGCCTCTATGTATCGGACATTTCCTTTTTGGATTATATCACGGCCCCGGCCCTGACTGGCCTGGGGGTCAGGGCTAAGGACGGTCCAGATACTCGACGTCATCTTGGCACATTCATTGACCGCTCATCCTGTGTTCTTCGAAGGCTCTGCCTCCGAGAGTGGGCTGACTCTCTTACAACCACCGAGATTTTACTCAAGTGCCCCTCGATCGTCGAACTCGTAGTCATCATCGGCAATACTTGGGCCATCAAAACAATAAATGGTCTACTATCAACACTCACCATGTCGCCTTCGGCTGATAGCGCGGCGCTGGCTCCACATTTACGCTCCATCTCTTTCGGATGTGTAAAACAAACCGATATTGACTACGGCCAGTATATCGAAATGCTTGAATCTCGGTGGAAGGCACCGGGTTGCGGACTCGAAGCCACGGCGCTCCTGGTCCAGAAGCACGCGGGACCTGATCCGGCCATACGGGGCAAATTGGAAAGGCTTCGCCAGGATGGATTGGATCTCCAAATATTGAAGGGGCGGAAGGTGCAAGACGTTACGGCGGGTTGGACCTATCACATACTATATTCACCTGACTCTCCTTTTAATGTGTAGCCCTGCTCTTATGACACGCGAGCACATTGTGTAAGGCGTGAAGATGTAGCCAGGGACGGGTGTCCGTGAGACAAGGGATGTCCAGAAAATTTTCGTCAAATTCCAGTCATAAACACTGAATGCCGCTTAAGTAAAGTTTTGCTGCGAGTTTTAGATTCGAATTGAACTTGAGAGAGTACGGGTCGCAGTTCACGGGGGGAAAGACCACAGAACAGAACAGAACAGGTCTTGAGATACATATTCACGCCACACCAGCGATGCGAACTTTTTCAAAAGTTGAACGGGTTCTTTCAGAGGTGTGGACCTGCCGATAGACGACCCAATGGTATAAAATATGCACAATATATGTACGAAGCAAAACCGGGGATCGTTGACTGTTTAGTTCTGCATCGTGCCCGAGACGAGCCCTTGTCCCTTGAAAAGCGCGGGCGCTGGGGCCGTTTTGATAGCTCGGAATCTAGTATTTTCGCAAAGCTTCGAGTGATGGCACACTCCCAGCAACGCCATCCCATGATCGGTGGCTTATGCAAGAAGTTGGCGAGAACCGACACGGATGCGTTCCATGTACCTACTGCTGCCAGAACTGCCGTATGTTTTCGACGGGCGCTGGAGTTTTTCTAGCTCATCTGGGCACTGTCTGACTCACGAAAAGGCCATTAATGCCAGATATTCCACGGACGATCGTCCGCTAATGCTGCCAAAAATCCTCGAGCCTTGGATTCCGGGGACATACCAAACCAATCTCACCTGTTGAACCCGAGGATATCGACCTTAGTCCTTGACACGGTATCAATCTGCGGGATTACCAGTCATCGAAGGGGGGGAGAGGAAAAAAAAAAACATGGAAGATATCCACGAGGAATGAAATCGCCCGGCGAGAGCCCACGATCTTGCGGGCATCCGAGCCCTCGTCGCCAAATCCCTGCAGGTGCTTGCCAATAAGTTGACCTGCAGCGTGATGGCCCTGCGTCAACATGAGAAAAACCATCAGTACAACATGACGGTCGAAAGGAGATTGTGTTTGACCCGAAGGGGCCCGGGTCCGGTGGTCACTCCGGCGACATCTCAGAGAAATCTACACGGCCTGAGGATGCTGGGTCGTAGTTGGACGGGGTGCATGTGCATTGTGCGCGGCAGACCTCCATTTGCAAGTTCCATGGGACGTATCTACACCGATGAAGGATACTCGGCTGAAAAACATGCGGCGAGACTGGTGAGATTTTGTTTGGATTTTTGGTCGCCCTACTTGAGCTGCGCGACGAAGATAGAGCCGACGTCCTCTTTCACTGTCATCATCAGGGCTCTGTTTT